TATTCCACGGTCAACTGTTAGTGGTATTATAACAAAGTGGAAGCAACTGTGAACAACAGCAACTCAGCCACCAAGTGGTAGGCCACGAAAAATGACAGAGAGGGGTCAGCGCATGCTGAAGCGCACAGTGCGCAGAAGTCGCCAACTGTCTGAAGAGTCAATAGCTAAAGACCTCTAAACTTCATGTGGCCTTCAGATTAGCACAAAAGCAGTGTGTAGAGAACTTCATTGAATGGGTTTTTATGGCCAAGCAGCTGCATCCAAGCCTTATATCACCAAGTGCAATGCAAAGCTTTGAATGCAGTGGTGTAAAGCACACCGCCACTAGACTCTAGAGCAGTCGAGACGTGTTCTCTGGTGTGATGAATCATGCTTCCCTGTCTGGCAATCCAATGAACGTGTCTGGGTTTGGCAGTTGCCAGGAGAACGGTACTTGCCAAGTGTAAAGTTTGGTGGAGGGGGGATTATGGTGTGGGGTTGTTTTTCAGGGGTTGGGCTTGGCCCCTTAGTTCCATTGAAGGGAACTATTAAGGCATCAGCTCCCAACTTTGTGGGAACAGTTTGGGGATAGCCCTTTCCTGTTCCAACATGACTGCACACTAGTGCACAAAGCAAGGTCCATAAAGACATGGATGAGGGAGTTTGGGGTGGAGGAACTTGACTGGGCTGCACAGAGTCCTGATCTCAACTCAACAGAACACCTTTGGGATTAATTAGAGTCGAGACTACAAACCAGGCCTTCTTGTCCCATAGCAGTGCCTGACCTCACAAATGCACTTCTGGAAGAATGGTCAAACATTCCCATAGACACTTTCCTAAACCTTGTGGACGGCCTTCCCAGAAGAGTTGAAGCTGCTATAGCTGTAAATGGTGGGCCAATTCAGTATTGAACCCTACGGCTCTCTCTCTCTTTGATTAAAACATTGTATAAAGATATACTATACTGGCAAAAGTATTGGAACGTCTGCCTTTACACGCACATGAACTTTAATGGCATCCCAGTCTTACTTTATAGGGTTCAATACTGAGATGGCCCACCCTTTGCAGCTATAACAGTGTCACCTTTTCTGGGAAGGCTGTCCACAAGGTTTAGTAGTGTGTCTATGGGAAGGTTTGACCATTCTTTCAGAAGCGCATTTGTGTGGTCAGGCACTGCTGTAGGACAAGAAGGCTTGGCTCGCTAATTCATCCCAAATGTGTTTTTATATATATATATATATATATATATATATATATATATAGCTTAAGCTGTCAGCTGTGATCATCTCTTTTCCTTCCCAAGATGTAGGAAATCTAGACTTAAAATGAAAGGCACTAAAGGGCACATTTAATATATACAGGTCATGTTCAGATCACAGTGGTTTCTGAGAAAAGCCCCAAAATCACACCAGAGCTTTAAAAACAAAATATGTTGATTAATAGCGTGTTTCTTTTAATTGAATGATAACTGGCTGAGAGCAGCACCTCTTATCATAAAGAATTTCCCGGGATCAGAGTTGCACTTCTGCTTCACAAATTCTCTCCCAATTCCATCTAGAAGACTTCTTGTGTTCTATATTTAGTGAAGAGGAAGAGGTTCGACTGACCTCGCAATGTTCCCAGTCTTTATGATACAATTTGATCCTTCCCTTTACAATGTCTAGATAGTTACTGTGGACTGAAACCAATTATCAGCCTATATTCTTTCTCCCTGTCTACATTCTTCAAGTGGGTATTTAAATATCCTTTTTGCAGTTAACACATGTGCGCACCCGTCTAGATGTCGTAGACTTTAAGCTAGATGTCAAAGATTTTGAAGGCCCACTAGAGTGAAAAATATTGTACTCTTGATTTGAGAATGATAGCATTCACTATATGAATCCCTTTTTTTAATTTTGCGGACCTTAATTATTTTTTTTTTCTCCCCAGTTAGGGTCTATTCACACCACAATGTGTGCATTAAGTGCAAGGAAAAGCAATGCACTGACATACCGCGTTGCCTTGTAATATTTTGTTTTTTAACTTCACTAAGATGTTCTTGCTCTTGCATTTACTGTATGCATGTTACATGTGTTGTGTCTCAGTGGAACCTGTTCTATTTTTCTTTTCAGTGCAGGTTAGCGCAACGCACCGGTGTGATTTCCTCATATTGAAATACATTGCTTTTAAAAAGTATATGCGCTGGCACGCATTGATCAATGCATGCCAATGCATCTGATGTGAACTGACCCTGACATTCAGGTCAAAGCATTCGGAAAACTGACATTTAGTGGCTAGGACAAGCCATACAACCCTGGTGATGGTGCTTATGATGGTCGGCTTTTATTTATATGGTGTAAACACTTTTTCCAATAGAAAAAATCCTATGTTAACCGCTGTTGGCATTGCATTTGTTTGTTCCTTTCTTTCAGTGCATTTAAAATGATCTGACTATCTACGACTATCTTGTCTACAGGGTAACAACACTGCAGAGATTTCACTGTACAAAAGGAGCTGTCATACTGTTAAAGGAAATAGAAGATTTAGAAGGATCAACAGGTAACAACTTAGACAGGCCACAGATTATCCAATTTTCTTTTCTGCAACCACAGAAAAAAAATAACTCAATCCTCCCATCAACATAATCAGTGTTTATGAGGGAATCCCTCCCGTTAAGCTATTATGTTCCCCTGGTGGGGACCGGGGGAGCTGTTCCGTCCACGGGAACACAATGGTTTTTTGCTAGCAGCTATAGCCATTGGCAATATTCGCATGCCAAAAATCCGACATGCTGGTTGTACCCAAGTCAATCGATAGATCGACTTGGGTAAAATCAATCTTTTACCCAATCTTTTACCTTGCTGAACCAACCAAGGTTCGATCCATCTATGGCCTGCTTTATTTTCCATGGGGGACTCAGAAAAAACAAAAACTACTGTGCTTTAGATACCATTCTTTTAAAACAAATACCATATTTTCTGAATCTTTTTTCAAATATAAATCATTTTACTCATAGAACGAGATCATTTAAATAGAAAAGCCAAGATATAAAATACAGAATGCGAAAAAAAATAATAAAAAAATTGATTCATGGTTAATGAAGGTGGGGGGAAAGAGCTTAAAACAACCAATCCTATTTTATTTTTTTCCCTCAGACACAATTGGGTATTCGAAATGAAAATAGGTGACTGCATAATGTGCTTTGGCATGACCTCAGATATACCCATCAGTAGCCCATATGACAAGGGTGTAGGCAGGTGTAATTTGGCCTCCCTGCAAGGGTTGCGCTGTTCGGCGGCTGCTGTGCAGAGGGGGTGGAGGACAAGGGGGAACTCAGGTCCCTCTGAGGCCTTGGTAGGTGTCATCAAGGGAGCAGTTGCCTGATTGGACGCTGTGCCGTGAACATCTTTGGTGTGGGCTGTGCTAATAAATATAATTTTCCCCCTTGGCTTGATTCACATTTGCATAGCAGATAGATTAGGGGCAGAGATGTCCGCTGGTTAGGGACAGTTTTACTAGAGTAGAGACAGGATCCTGTTGAGGAGGGACAGAGTATGGACTGTCACTGTGTCTTGGGCAGTAGCCTTCTTTATTCAAGGGCCCTATTGCCAGTCTGCCTTCCAGCCACTTCCTGCGTTGGATGCAGTTGGGTGTCTACAGTGTGCATAGATATCCCTTGCCTAGTTCATTGTAAGTGCTTTGGTCCAATGTGGCCATGTGGGCAGAGTCTGTTGTAGTTCCTCAGTACTACCACAGTAATACAGTTTGCGTCATCAACCAGTCTCCGTGTGAGTAGTCTTACCTTGCGGTCAGTGAACCTGGGCCCCATCTACAGGGTGACAGACACAGAACATTATCATCAACAAGAGATGCCTGAACAAAGACCTTCATGGCAGGATCGCTAGTTGTTACTGTGAAGGTTTTCATTTATCCAGGTCATGGCGTAGTTAGAAGTCACATTCATCTAGACTAGTTCTGTAATGTTGAAGATGTTTTGTAGCTTATGTAAGACACTTCTTATATGTTTATTTATTTATTGCAGGTATTTACATAGTGCCAACAATTTATGTAGCACTTTACACACTGTACAGTACATTCACATCAGTCCTGGTGCCTAAGGAGCTTACATTCTAAGGTTCCTAGCTCACTTACACTATATATGAGCAGGGCGCTCCTATCCCTCTTGTATTGAACTGTATTGTTGCTGTATTGTCTCCCATTTTATTGTAAAGCGCTGAGCAAACTGTTGGCGCTATATAAATCCTGTATAATAATAATAATAATATTGCCAAAAGTATTGGTCGGCCTGCCTTTACACACACATGAACTTTAATGGCATCCCAGTCTTTGTAGGGCTCAGTATTGAGTTGGCCCACCCTCTGCAGTTATAGCAGCTTCAACTCTTCTGTGAATGCTGTGCACAAGGATTAGGATGGTGTCTATAGGAATGTTTGATCATTCTTCCAGAAATGCATTTGTCAAGCACTGATGTTGAACAAGAAGACCTGGCTCACAGTCTCTGCTCTAATTCATCCTAAAGGTGTTCTGTCGGGTTGAGGTCAGGACACTGTGCAGGCCAGTCAAGTTCCTCCACCCCAAACTCGCTCATCCATGTCTTTATGGACCTTGCTTTGTGCACTGGTGCGCAGTCATGTTGCAACAGGAAGGGGCCATCACCAAACTGTTCCTACAAAGTTGGGAGCATGAAATTGTTCAATATGTCTTGGTATGCTGATGCCTTAAGAGTTCCTTTCACTGGAACTAAGCGGTCAAGCCCAACCCCTGAAAAACAACCCCACGCCATAATTCCTCCCCTCCCCCAAATTTACACTTGGCACAATGCAGTCAGGCAAGTACCGTTCTCCTGGCAACCACCAAACTCAGACACATCCATTGGATTGCCAGACAGAGAAGCATGATTGGTCACTTCAGAGAACACGTCTTCACTACTCCAGAGTCCAGTAGCAGTGTGCTTTACACCACTGCATCTGATGGTCTGCATTGTACTTGGTGACGATATAAAGCTTGGATGCAGCTGCTCGGCCATGGAAACCCTTTCCATGAAGCTCTCTACACACGGTTGTGCTAATCTGAAGGCCACATGAAGTTTGGAGGTCTTTAGCTATTGATTTTTCAAGCAGTTAGTGACTTCTGTGCACTGTGCACTTCAGCATGCACTGACCCCGCTCTGTCATTTTACGTGGACTACCACTTGGTGGCTGAGTTGCTGTTGTTCCCAGTTGCTTCCACTTTGTTATAATCCCACTAACAGTTGACTGTGGAATATTTATTAGCAAAGAAATGTCACGGATGGACTTATTGCACAGGTGGCAACCTATCACAGGACCACGCTTGAATTCACTGAGCTCCTGAGAGCGACCCATTCTTTCACCAATGTTTGCAGAAGCAATCTGCATGCCTATAAAACAATAATCAGATGTGCATAAACTGCATTTCCGGGGATATAAACATTATGGTGACATGTGTATCCTAGTACTCCCTGGATTGTAATAAAGTGTCAGCTGAAAGCAGCGCTGGATTATGGAAATAACGATCAGCAGCATATATGTCCCTGACAGAAACTGAAAGCTGTTGCCTAGAGATGTGCGGGTGTGTCTCCTATTACAAGTGAGCTGCAATGAGGACAAACCTAAAGTGGTCCTATTGGTGCAGTGGCCAACAGTGTCATGGTGACCAGGGGCGGACTGACCATTTGGAAACTTGGGCACTGCCCGAGGGCCCGGGGTCAGTAGGGGGCCCCATGAGATGCCCCTGGTACCTTTTTTTCATAGGCTTTTTTGAGTTTGGGCAAGGACACAGGGGCCCCATGATCCCCTATTGCCTGGGGGCCCCATGAGTTGTCAGTCAGCCCCTGATGGCGACGCATGTCTCCTGTGCACACACCATGCGAGTTTACTACTCACGCATGTGCTCAAAGTCATTCCTGCACCGGCCTCGGTTAACATGGAAACCCATGACGTTAGCTCCGGGCAGGACGCGGTGGAAGCAGGTCGCCAGTGTCATGGAAACCCATGATGTTAGCTCTGGGCAGGAAAATGCGGAGGCAGCTTGCCGGTGTCATCATGGAAACCCATGACGTTAGCTCTGGGCAGGACAAGGTGGAGGCAGCTTGCCGGTGTGATGGAAACCCATGATGTAAGCTCTGGGCAGGACGAGGCGGAGGCAGTTTGCCGGTGTCATGAAAACCCATGATGTAAGCTCTGGGCAGGACGAGGCGGAGGCAGCTTGCCGGTGTCATGGAAACCCTTGATGTTAGCTCTGGGCAGGACGGGGCGGAGGCAGGTTGCCGGTGACATGGAAACCCATGACGATAGCTGCAGGCAGGACGAGGCGGAGGCAGGTTGCCGGTGTCATAGAAACACATGACGTTAGCTCCGGGCAGGACAAGGTGGAGGCAGGATTCCGGTGTAATGGAAACCCATGATGTTAACTCTGGGCAGGACGAGGCGGAGGCAGGTTGCTGGTGTCATAGAAACCCAGGACGTTAGCTCTGGGCAGGACAAGGCGGAGACAGGTTTGCCGGTGTCATGGAAACCCAGGACGTTAGCTCCAGGCAGGGCGAGGCGGAAGCAGGTTGCTGGTGGAAACCCATGACGCCGGTGCCACACAAGCCAATGGGCTGACAGGGTACATGACACTGTCGATCGCTGCACCAATAGGACCACTTTAGGTTTGTCCTCATTGCAGCTCATTTGACAATAGGAGACACACCCGCACATCTCTAGGCAACAGCTTTCAGGTTGCCTTGCTGTAATTATGTGATTGTTCATTAAAACTTTTTGGACCCATAGGCCCTGATTCACTATTGGGCGTGGGCGCATATTTATGGGCTTAAGCCCAATTTTCATGGGCGTCCGTCCATTTTTGACCCTGCAACCTAATTCACTATTGAGCAGAGCCCATAAGCAGACGCCCAATCTAATTCACAAAAAGACACACGCCCGGAATCAGACTCACAAAAGCAGACTTGCTAAGAAGCACGTCTAACACCATGAAAAATCACTGTAGAGACATGTTCACTTAGAAATTTGCTTTGCCAAATATCAGGACTTCACTTTAAACAATATCTGCTATTTCCAAAAAAATTAAGAATGTGTTAAAAAACGTTTTTTTTCAAGGAAATCGACACAGTAAAAATCTAGATGTCCGTGCAGTGTCTTTGGCAGATAGAACTGAGCATGTGCAGAACACATTTTAGTCCTCTGCCATGGGCGTTTGCTTTTTAGCCACTGACTAATAGTGAATCTGATTGTGGATTCCTCTGACAGCCGGCACTCGGTCGCGACTACTGTGTTTAATAAACAGCATTAAGCATATCTTCATGTAATCTAATTAGATTTCCTTCGTTTTAGTGATTATATTTTTGTTTTCTTATCCTTTATAATTATTTCTGTTATGATTTTACTTATTTTGAAGGTCTAGATAAAATTTATTTTGAAAGCTGAATGTAAAAATAAAGGTCCGCAATAAAAAAAAAAAAAAAAAAAACAGCGTGGGTCCCCCCTCTCATCCATACCAAGCCCTTCGGGTCTGGTATGGATATCAAGGGGGAACTCCATGCTGAAATTTAAAAAAAAAACAGCGTGGGTCCCCCTCAATATCCATACCAGACCTTTATCCGAGCATGCAGCCCGGCAGGTCAGGAAAGGGGGGGGACGGACGAGCGAGCGCCCCCCCCCCCTGAACCATACCAGGCCACATGCCCTCAACATGGGGGGGGTGCTTTGGGGCAGGGGGGCCCCCCCCAAAGCACCTTGTCCCCATGTTGATGAGGACAAGGGCCTCTTCCCCACAACCCTGGCCGGTGGTTGTGGGGGTCTGCGGGCGGGGGGCTTATCAGAATCTGGAAGCCCCCTTTAACAAGGGGGCCCCCAGATCCCGCCCCCCCCCCCCTACGTGAATGATTCTGCGGTACACGGTCCGCAGACTCATTCACAAAAAAACTAAGTGTGGTGTAAAAAAAACACAGTACAGGGTCTTTGACAAGTCCTTTATTAAAACAATGTCCCCCGAAGTAGATCCAACGTCAATCACGGCGGCGGCGGCAGGGACCCGAAAAAAGAAAAAAAAAAAAAGGTTCCGCTCCAGTCCGAGGCTTCCAGCCTAGTGAAGAAGAGGCTAGCTGACAGTTCTTATATAGGTATGGGGCGGGGCCAGCCGGGCACATCATCCACGCCCCTTACCTATTTGAGAAATGTCACCCCTGTCTCTCCACTGAGGCTAACTAGCTGAATGCAGGAGACAGTCTGACATTTCTTATATAGGTATGGGGCGGGGCCAGCCGGGAACAGCAAGCATGTGACATGGGGCGGGTCACTCAGATGATGTCCCCGGCTGGCCCCGCCCCATACCTATATAAGAACTGTCAGCTAGCCTCTTCTTCACTAGGCTGGAAGCCTCCGATGGGAGCGGAACTTTTATTTTTTTTTTCGGGTCCCTGCCGCCGCCGCGATTGACGTTGGATCTACTTCGGGGGACTTGTTTTAATAAAGGACTTGTCAAAGACCCTGTACTGTGTTTTTTTTACACCACACTTAGTTTTTTTGTGAATGAGTCTGCGGACCGTGTACCGCAGAATCATTCACGTAGGGGGGGGGCGGGATCTGGGGGCCCCCTTGTTAAAGGGGGCTTCCAGATTCTGATAAGCCCCCCGCCCGCAGACCCCCACAACCACCGGCCAGGGTTGTGGGGAAGAGGCCCTTGTCCTCATCAACATGGGGACAAGGTGCTTTGGGGGGGGAGCCCCCCCTGCCCCAAAGCACCCCCCCCATGTTGAGGGCATGTGGCCTGGTATGGTTCAGGAGGGGGGGGGTCGCTCGCTCATCCCCCCCCCCCTTCCCTGACCTGCCGGGCTGCATGCTTGGATAAGGGTCTGGTATGGATATTGAGGGGACCCACGCTGTTTTTTTTTTACATTTCGACGTGGAGTTCCCCCTTAATATCCATACTAGATCCGAAGGGCTTGGTACAGATGGGAGGGGGGACCTACGCTTTTTTTCTATTATTTATGCAATAAAGGGAATTATTTTACATTCAGCTGTCAGTGGGGAACCCCGCTGACAGATGAAACATTAACTCATGGCTGTCGCTCCTACAATCCCGCATGAGTTATGTTATCAACTCATGCGGCGTTTTAGTAGTGAAAAACCAATGCAGCGCTCATGTTTCAGCTGTCGGCGGATTTCCCCACTGACAGTTGAATGTCAAAGTATTGCAGGGATTTAGAAACAGTTCTTTAAATAACTGGCGTGGGGTCCCCCTCCCATCCATACTAAGCCCTTCGGGTCTCGTATGGATGTTAAGGGGTACCTCCACGCTGAAATTAAATAAAAAACAGCATGGGGTACCCCCCAAAAATCCATAACACATACTTATCCGAGCATGCAGCCCGGCAGGTCAGGAAAGGGGGGGGGGGGGACGAGCGAGCGCCTCCCCCCCTCCTGAACCATACCAGGCCACATGCCCATACCAAATTATTCAAACATTTGTAAACAGACCAATTAACTGAAATGGTTTGGCATTTGTACCCCAAATATGACGTTCCTGAGGCGTTGGTAAACCGAGGTACGCCTGTATTAGTATTGCAATCCTTTGTATTGGGATACATAGAACCAAAACATACATCTGAATTGGCAACATAGCACAACATTTGTGTCACATTGGAGATATCTGGCTAGTTATACTGACCATGCCCAGGACCTAGGATTGATTCACAGCACAGAAATACAGGCTGGGTTAGCAATGTAGCTCCGTGGGTTAGTGGTTAGCACTACTGCCTCATAACTCTAGGGTTGTCGGTTCGAATCCCAACCCGGCGAGGTAGTAGCATGATCTCCGTGTGTGGGCTGTCTTCACATACATGTTCTGGCAACATCTTTGCATTCTGTCTAAATGATCCCTAAAATGTGAATTAGAATGAGGCCTTGTCTGTTGAAACACCTTCAAAGCTGCACCTTATGTGAATGTCATACAATGGTATAAGATAAGGGCCTGAATCACTAATAGATTTGATAATGATGGTTTACACTCCACCCACTTTTGTGAAGGATTTGGCAAGCAAAGAGCTGACAGAGAGAGAGAAGAGTGAGACGAAGAAGATGAGTGAGCGAGAGATACATATGAAGAGTGATAAAGAGAGACATTCAAAGATGTGAGCGAGAGAGAAGAGCGAGCCAGTGAGACGAAGAAGAGTGAGCGAGAGAGAGAAGAGCGAGCCAGTGAGACGAAGAAGAGTGAGCGAGAGATACATACTGAGGAGTGATAAAGAGAGACATTCAGAAGAGTGAGCGAGAGAGAAAAGACTCGGTTGGTGAATCCACACATCAAACTTGTCACAAATCCTGGCGTGCATTTTTCCCCCAAATGCATAGCAGACCCTTATCCCAGCAGGCAGGTA